TCACACAAACAAGCACACGCACAAAAAATTGTGCCTTTGTTATCTTTCCACCGCCCTTGAAAAAATGTGCAGAGGAGGAAAATGCAGGGCAGCCACAGGCCTCCACCGCCTTACCCATTTTCAATTTTTTTTTTTTCCTTTTACGGAAATTTCAGTCGGCGATACCTATATATGTTCACCGCGCCTCACTACCCCGCCGACCAATTTCGCCTCCCGGCAAAAACCAAACAAAACCCAAAAAAAAAAAAAAAAAGAGAAAACCCATTTCGATTTCAGCTCGAATCTCGCCGTGAGCCCTCGTTCGAGAAATTTTAATGGAGTTCGGAGAGAATAACCCCCCAAACCCGCGGCCGCCAGTTTCCTCCGGCGTCCAGCACGAGGCGGCGCCGGCGTTCGCCGTGCCCTTATCCATGGCGTCCCCGTTTCCCGAGCTGCCGCCCTTCTCAGGGTTTGGGCCGTTCGAGCTCCAATCGGAACCCTATCTTGAACAGGCGGCGGGGGAAAATTTATCCGGCGTGCCGCAGCCGCTGGAGGCGCTGTACGGAACTCCGGTGCCGCCTTTCCTCTCCAAGACGTTTGATTTGGTCGAGGACCCGTCGCTGGACGCCGTGATCTCGTGGGGGTCAAAAGGAGAGAGCTTTGTGGTGTGGGACCCACTCGAGTTCGCTAGGACCGTGCTGCCGAGGAATTTCAAGCACAACAATTTCTCGAGTTTTGTCCGACAGCTCAATACATATGTGGGTATCGTGCATACAAATGTTGAATTATATAACTTCTGATGCTTCTCTTTTTTTTCCTTCTTTTTTATGTTCACTTGTTGTTTTTGATTTTGTCTGTGTAATTTTTTTTTCCTGTAAATTGTTGTGGCATTGGCTCCTTTCTTGTAAATTTTGCGTTTTGTTGTTGTTTTTGTTGTCTGTAATCGTGTATAGCTGCTATCCTCTGAAGATGATGTACCTATGATGTAATTTGTAAATAGAGAAAAGAAAAGAAAATCGGACTGGTTTGTACAGAAAATAGGAGGGACATTTTTTTTGTACCTAAGCTTGTTTTTTATCTTTGAGCATCAATAATATATCGTGGATCGATTTCGTGTATTAAGCTTGCTGTTATCGTTTGAAGTGTGATGATATATCGACTTGTTTTTAGTATATTCTTAAAATATTGTTGAGAACTATTCTACCGCACGGTGCATCTCCTCGTCCGAGCAACTACTGGATTGGAATGTCCCTGTCCCTTTGCAGGTAGAACTTATTTTAAGCTTTACGTGTTGTCAATTCATTTTGTGAACTCGATTTTGAATGTAAGAATTGTGCTGATCTCGTTTCTATTTAGGGTGTTCAGCTCACTCTACTAAGGATATTTAGCCTGTGCTGATCGTGCTGATGAAAAAATGTTTGCTTCTGGCATTTATTTCGGTTTTTTTTTCTTGTGTGTGTGTAATTCACTAATTTGGTGCTTTTTACTCATACATAGGGATTTCGTAAAGTCGATACAGACAAATGGGAGTTTGCAAACGAAGGATTTAGAAAGGGGCAGAAGCAAATGCTGAAACACATCCAAAGGCGTAAATCACATCACTCTATGAGTTCCTCATCCGGTGGATCCTCTCTTGATCCAAACAAAGCTGCTGCTGTGGAGGCCGAAATCGAGCATCTGAGGAAAGAGAGAAGTTTAATGATGCAAGAAGTGTTCGAGCTACAGCATCAGCAAAGAGGGACCATGCAGCACATGGGAATTGTAAACGAGAAGATCCATTCGGCCGAGAGAAGACAAAAGCAGATGGTCTCGTTTATGGGGAAAATATTCCAAAACCCTGCCTTTTTATCCCATACAAAGGAGCAAAAAAACATCACCTCGCCTAGGACAGCAAGAAAATTCATTAAACATCAACCCCACGAAAGAGGCTCATCCGAGTCTTCCCCGAAAGGACAATTCGTCAAATACCCATTATTGGAAATGGGAGAAAGTCCGGTTCTTGGTACTGATTCTACTGATAATGTACCTTTTCAGGTTGAAGATGATGTAAAAGATGAGCTTTTGATGATGGATGAGATTCTTGGTGCACCCGAGCAAGCTGGAATGGATCTGGGCCGAGGAACAGTGGACCTTAATTATAAAGGAAAGGGCGTTATGGGCCCAACACACCCACAGGCCCAACAAGGACCAGATTATTTCATCTCATATCCCGAGGATATGGGGAAGGAGAAGATTTTTCCTGAGATGGGAGTATCGGGAAGTGAGAGTGTGGGCATTGATGAGGGTATTTGGGGCGGCATGGGTTTCGAGTCCGGTTTATGGGGTAATCCTGGTGATTATAATATGCATGAATTAGGGCGTATGTCGGATATTTGGGAACTAGGGTCAATGCAGAAGCCTGATGAGAGTTCGGGTATGGAGAAGTGGCCGGATGAAGACTCCCCTTTTAACGAGTTAGATAAAAAAGAGAACCAAGAGTAGGAATGATAGTTTTACTAAAAAAAGGCTCCTTTTAGGGTCTTTTAAGTATAGTCTTGATTGATAGCATGATGCATATAATATGGTGTGTGGTTGGTTTTTGTTGATTGCTATATAGAACTGAACTATATAGTGTTATCTATCAATTTTTGCTTATTTTTGATTGTCAAGTTCTATTTCGTTCTCCACTTCTGATTTCATTTCATTCTCTTTATTTTTTATTTAGTTGTCTTGATTGCTCTGTAGCATTAGGTTGAATATGTTGTAGTTGATGTGCTTGCATGAAAAAAAGAAAAAAAAATGCGACTAATGTGTGTCTCTTTTGAGTTGTGCGTACGCAGGTTTGCAATTTGAACACCTTTAAGGAGATTGGATTTGGCGGCTTGAAATAGTGGCTCCGGACACTATCACAGGTAAGGAACTTAGGAAAGATTTTTCATCGAATACTTGAAAGAAAAATGGCTGTGCTGGCTATGATAATTGATACCATTTCCTGATTCAGGTCTCTGACTAATTATGTAGCTGTGAGTTGTGAATCTGCAGGCATAAAGCACCTTTGGGAAATAACCAGGCTGTGTGTATATATGGTTTTTTGGTCTTCTGTTTTTAGCAGCATTATCTGCCTAAGTAAATGGAACAAAGAACAGCAGAAAAGTGGACTTAAATTAACCAGTTTGTAATAGTACTCGTTTGGAGTTGATGCAAGTTTGTAATAACACACTGTTAGCTTGAAGGGCTATGCATTCGTAGATTCTGTAAGCTCAAGAGAGTCCTTTGCTCGTGTTGTTTTTGTTACATTAGTCGTATAAAATGTGGAAGTTTTGCACAGTGCTTGAATTCAAAGGCGATCTCTGTTCTCGTTTTCTGTACATTCAGACTCATCAGGTTGAATAAAAATAAGGTGCTGTGATACATCTTTTTCGAGTTCTTCTGTTGTTTTTGTTATCAGATTCATATCAACAGTGAAATGAACAGCTGTAGATTCCATCGCTTAGACCACAACGATAAGTTCATTAAGTTGTCATAAAGTTATTACACGGGTTTGCACAAATTTTAGGATGATGGACATAAATACAGTATCAACACATTACATAGAAATTCGTCCTGTTTGGGATGAAATAATTAAAATTACAAGCTTCATATCACACAAATACAGAATTAAGTATCAACATATAGTAGTAACATAGAGAATTCACAAGGCTGAAGCTTGTAAAATGGAAATCTGACAGTTTCCTTAAGACAACCTCATCTCTGGAACTTGATAATACATACATGGAAGTTAATACAGGTGAACCTGCAAAAAGCATGATGAGCAATATGCATCAGATGAGTATTTTCGAGAACCGGTCTTATCAGCAATACTGAAAGCAATTTATATTTTTCATTATATCGCCCAATACGTCATTACGCCACCATCACATGGTTGTGTTTGCAGTATATGGGACAAAATGCAGTCATTTTGTTGTCAATGCCTTCGAATATCAATGTCCTACTTTGTAACAATCAAAGGCTGAAAAAAAAAATGCTTCAATGGCTCATAATTAGTAGAAATCCAGGGGCATTACGAGAACAAACCTTGCAATAATTTAGCTTCATTTGTCTGGAGCTTCACATGAAGAAAGGTATCTCCTTACGACCCGGACGAGTTGTTGGGGGTGATTTAACGAATGGTCTCAAAGATTCCATGATACTTGAAAATGAGGGCCGTTTCCATGGCTCGCTGCAAAATTTATTTTTATGCATCAGCTCTCAGACTCGTTTACTTTTGGAGATCAAAGAATGTATAGAATAGGTTTTGTTGGGGCACAATGAACTATTAATATGATCTCAATTTGTATTCAGACACCACAATAATGAACAGAGACAAACAAGCTCAAGATTATCAACTAAAAATGATTCTGCACATTGCGAACATCAATTGAAAGTAGATATATAACTCACTTGGCCCAGCAGGAAACAATAATAGCTGCAATCTGAGGATTCATATCCTGTGGAATCTCAAGCCTTTTCCCCTTAAAACCAACAGCTGCTACAACCTATAATAATGAAGAAATGGTCAAACTTTTGGTGACTTGAATGGGATCAAAGAAAACCTAAGGAAACAACAAATCGAAGAAATCCTAAACAACCAGAATGAAAAATTTAATAGAGGGAATAATTTGTGGAGATTAGCACATCTCATTGTTTTTTCTTTTTTTTTT